TCCAATTCCTTTACTTTTCCTTTCTATCTATCCCTTGAGGGCAAGCACCTTAGATCAGCAAGATGGCAGGAGGGGAAAGGCAAATAATAATACGCCAACATTTTGCAGAGCGTAGAAGGGAGGGAGAGTTCAATTGCGCACCCCAGGAAGCGGGGGGATTGACACTCTACTCTCTAAGCCTAACTCCTCACAACAAAGCTATTGTATATAGTTAACACCGCTTGCCACTTATACCAAAAATTTAGACGAAGACACCCACAGAAAACTTAATGTATATAATATGCCTAAACTGACAACTGTCAAATGCATGCACTGCGCTAATGTATGACACTGCGCTGTCTTATTCGAAAATGTACATGCTTTCATGTTTATCATCTACTTCGTCAAACCAAAAATAAAGAATTTAAAAAAAAAAAAACTGGCCCTCAAAGGCGCACCCCAAAAGATGATGGCACTCCGGATGCACAGGCAGCAGCCGGAAGGCGGATTCCACATCTGCTTTAGCCAGCAACGCCCCCGGGCCCGCCGCCCTCACCATGCGAACCGCCGCATCGAAGGATGCGTAGGAAACCCTGCAAAGCTCAGCGGAAATGTCATCATTCACTGAACTCCCTCGAGGGTACGACAAATGGTGAATCAAACGATACTTTCTGGGATCCTTCTTAGGCACCACACCCAAAGTAGAAACCTGCAAATTAGCCATCGGTGGGGTGGAGAACGGGCCGGCCATCCGCCCCAAGGAGACCTCTTTATCCAATTTTTCCCGTACCACCTGAGGGAAAGCCTGCACGGATTTGAGGTTGCGTATGGAGAGCAGCGGAGGGCGCTCAGAGAAAGGGATCCAAAACCCCTGCTCAAACCCATCCACCAGGATCCGCGCCGCGGCCCAATTCCTATAAAAGTCGAGCCACGGGCGCATCGCATTTACGAGGACCGGAGTCGTCGCCCTTAGCCCCCATGTCCCCTTTCACACCCGTTTTTCCCAGCTTGAAACAGCGAGAGGCAGGATGGGCCCCGCCGCAGCCGGAGCACTCGTGCTTAAACCGGCATGAAGACCCCCGCTTACAGAGACTATCGTTAAATTTCCAACAACAGCCAGACCTTGGACCGGAGGCCGATGAGGAGGAAGGTGTGCCCCCACCGGCCCCCCCAAGAAAGGACGAAAACGCGCTCTGTTGAGGGGCTGGACAAGTCATGATGGAAAGCCAGAGGCCGATATCCATCTGATCCCATGACAGCGAGGGACGTACTGCCAGCCGCTGTCGAAACTGCTCGTCGTACCTCCACCAACCCAGCCCCCCATAGGTGCGACAGGCGTTCCAGATTGTGTCCTGATAACAGAACAGCGCGGAGCACTTGTGGGGAAACTTTTCCCCAACCACGCTGGCCAAAATAGAGAACGCCCGAATCCAGTTCCCAAAGGTCTTGGGAATTTTGCGAAAACGGTACTTCTCCCTGTCCCTTTCCGACTTCTTACTGTCCTTGTCCGCCACGGGAGGAGCTTCCTCCAGTGGTAGGAGAGAAAAAATCTCCACAAATTCCCCTTTCCAAATTTTCTCCTTCATTTCCTGCTTCAAGTGCAAGCCCAGAGGGCCAGACCAGCACATGTAAGCAGCACCCCGCGCTACGTCTGAGACCCCCCTTTCGAGACAAGCATCACTCGAGGCGGACCCAACACTGGCCACCGCGGGTGCCGGGGAACCAGAGGCACCGTACTGCCACCCGTCCCGGGCAGGGGCCCAGGAGGGGGAGAAGCCTGAACATTAGGAGGGAGCAGGGCAGGGGACCAAGCCGACCGGAGTTGACCATCAACAGAAGTGACCCCACTAACTGCCATCCCCCGCTCCCACTGATCCAAAAAAAAACAAAGACCCGAGAGGAACCCTCCCAACCCGGGACCCGCAGCGCCAGAAGCGGAGGGAACAAAGTACTCACCGGTCGTAGACTGGCGATCCAAGCCCGGCACTGCATTCCCAGAAAGCTGAGGCAGAGAAACAGCAGTTCCATGATCCACAGAAGACATCAGCTGTGTTCCAGGCGCCAAGGCAAGGCAGAGGGGGGGGGAGAATAGAGGAGGCAGCCAGGGAGGGATAGAAAGCGGGGGGGGGAGGTAAAAACAGAGGGGGGGGAGGATGGGAGAGGAGGGGCAGACCCACCAGAGGGGGAAAGGGGGCCAGAGGACACCGGTAAAGAGGGGCCCCCTAGAAGAAGAAATAACGCTAACAGGGGAAAGAGGGGGGACAGGGGAGACAGAGCCCTGGGAGCCTACCTCACTGGCAGAGGAGGCTCCCGATGGGCAAGGGGACCCCCCCTGGACTCCCAACGGCGATACCGCGGTACCACGGTACCCCGCGAGGGCCTACTCAGGTCTTAGTACCTCCTCAACGGCAGCCGGGGTGGATGGTGTGGAGGTGGGACCTCGTGTAGGCCGCGCGGGAAGTAGCAGGCTGGGCGGCCATGGAGGTAGCAGGCCGCGCGGCAGTGGCAGGCCTCGTGGCTGAAGGCCGTGACACGCACACGGCTGCAGTAGGCCTCAAATCCCGGCCCCCAGTAGTAGGCCGCGTGCCTGGAGCCCCAGACACGCGGGCCCGGCGATGCCTCGGGCCCGGGCTCCTGCTCCTCAACCGGGCCCGAGGAGTGTTATCCGGGGAGAGCCTGGCAGGCGGGCGGGAACGCCTGCCAGTGCTGGTGCGGCCCCCAGGGGCAGGGGCCGCATGGGAGACAGCAGGGGAGACCGCAGGGGGTGCTCCAGGGGAAGGCAGGCCACAGGGGGTGCCCACACCGGCAGCCATACTAATGCTTGTGAATTGCTCCCTTAGTTGCCGGCCACCATCCAGCGCAGCAGCAGCCCTGAGGGACGCCAGGATCGCCTCAACCTCCATCACCTCAAGCTGTGTAAATCTGCAGGCCCAGGCAAACAGGAGCAGGAGGACAGGAAGCTGTTTGATGGCCCGAATCCCAAGTGGCACTGAGGTAAGACCTCCCCCCACACTAACTCACATTAAACCTAACCCCTCCCACACACACTTCCCAAGTCACTCCCCTGCATCTATCCTCACACTCCTACATGTGCCCTTGTCCGCTTAGCTGCGCTATCTCCCCAGGGCCTGAGCGCTGTTTGGATATATTGAGCGCTCAGATCCAAGCCATCTGGGGATAGGTTGAATGTGGGGGTTCTGTTCAGTATGATAGGAGTTATGTATTTTTGCTGTTGTGAATAGAGACATTTTCTGTACCTGGAGATAGTTGGCTTACCACACCCAGTTAAGCCAATTATCTGCAGGATAGAGGACTCTGTGGAACTGGTTTTGTCTGGAAAGCCATGCTTCAGTGGTCACAAAGGACTTCGACCTAACTTTTAAACCAATGGAAGGAATTGTCTGATTTTTGAGTATGTTTGTATTTGGAGTATGCGGATTCTGAAAATGTTTTATGTGAATGTGATGTATACTTTTGGAGTTATGAATATTGTGCAAAACTGTGTATTTTCCTGCCTGTGATAATTAATTTGTCTATTGTGTTGAGATAATTGTATCACAGGCAGAGGGGAGGATTTCTGCTGGTGCGAATGGGAGTGTTTAGTTGTGTTGTAATGTATTGATTGGTTGGTCTTCAAAACCCCGTGGGCAGTACTATGTTTGTAAAATGGGCATAAAAGCAGAGCGTTGGATTAAAAGCTCAGTTCTACTTCACCCTCAATTTGGAGTGCCGTATCTTATTGGGGAAATGTGCTACAAGAGATTGCTATGCTCTGCATATTCCCTTGCTATAATCACTCCTAAGCTCTTGTAAGAGCTTGTTCCTGCCTTGCTCTCTGGAGGAGTCTACGGTGGTTATGGTGTCGGCTAGAGTGCTTGGAGCCCTCAGGAAGCGCTAGGAGCATCCTTCAATGGAGGTACCCAGTCGGGGTGCCAGGTGATCCGTTACACAGGACATCTAGGGTCCCGTCGTACAGCCTATAGGATTACACAGAATTTCTTCAATTTTAACCAGGCTGTGCGACAATACTGTAATATGTGCGACACATGTCAACGGGTAGGTAAGAGGGGGGACCACCCTAAGGCCAGACTTATGTCCATGCCTATTATTCTATTATTGGGGAACCCTTCTCCCGTATAGCCGTTGACATCGTGGGTCCACTGGCCAGACCTAGTCCATCCAGGAAGAGGTATATTCTTACCGTGGTGGACTACGCTACCCGTTACCCAGAGGCAGTAGCTCTGTCCAATATTGAAGCGGAGACAGTAGCTGATGCCCTGGTTAAGATCTTCACCACATTGGGGTTCCCTAAGGAGATTCTCTCTGATCAGGGAACCCAGTTTACCGCTGTACTCACCCAGCAGTGGGAGGTGTGCAACATTAAGCCCTTGCTTAGCTTACCTTACCACCCCCAGACTAACTAACTGTCTCTGTGGGCGCTTTAATGGGACCCTCAAGCAAATGCTGAGGACCTTTACGGACACCTGCAGAGACTGGGAGAGATTCCTGCCTCATCTGTTGTTTGCATACAGACAGGTACCCCAGGAATCTACTGGGTTCTCTCCCTTCGAGTTACTCTATGGGAGAAGGGTCAGAGGACCCCTGGACAGAGCATGAGGGGACCCCCATAGTGCCATATGTTCTGGAA